GTTGGTTGGAAATTCCTCTCTTAAACTGTTGAACTTTCACTCTTTCTTTAAGTCGATTTAGAGCTAGTTCAAACAACCGCTAATTAAGAAACAAAGAAATACGGAAATCCAAGGAGTGAAAATCTGTCTGGGAATCAAACCAGCAGAAGAGTGGACTTCATGCTGTAAGGCAAGAGTGTTACCCACTTCCGTGACCGTATGACGCAACCTGATTTCTGTCAGTTAAAAACATCTGGTGTATGCTAGCTGGCTAGCTGTCGGTGTTGTGATCCAGATTTGTCCTAGGACCACGGAGGCGTCGCTGTCGTACTCTGCCTCCTGTCTGTTCTTTCCCAGCAGCGAATCAGTGACGCGCAGAATAGTGTCGGCCGCTGTTATTGGTTAGTGAGCCAGATGTTGTCCACACAGTGGCTCGGATCACTGTCATTGGTCGCAGCAGATCTGAGGTCAGTGTTAACAGACTTGGCCTCAGTGGGTTTTGCAGCTGCTCTTTCCTCGTACCACATCAATCCACCGTCCTGAAACATGTCGGGCACAACCAATCAGAGCAGCCGCCGTGACATCATTTCCTCCGCAGGGCATTTGATGTCATCCACCACGCCGACCACACTGTCTGTGTGCAGGGAAGAGGAAAGACCGCAGACCACGGGGGGGTGAGGGGGCGGGCAACGAGGGCTGGACCGCAGAAAGAATGTTTGTTTGTTTGGCCAGGCAGACCTCTGGGTCGTTCCATGCTAATTGGAACTAGCATAAGCGGGCTAATGAGTGCTAATTAGGCTAATGAATGAGAGTGTGTACAGCAGGCGTTATAGCAGAGGAGGACAGAAAAAAACAGACAGAGCGCACATCTGGACACACACACATTTGTTGATGTCCTTTTTCCAATTAGCCGGGGGGTTAACGAGTGTGTAAGAGGGCGGACGTGGACGTGGACGTGGACGCGGACACACACTGACATTTCACGCACACTCACAAATGATCCTTCTTTCTTGCTCCTGTTTTGTCGCCATGTGCACTTTCATTATTGTCCTCCATCACACTGCCATATGTGAGGCAGCCTCCTGACCCCCCCTCAACCCCCCCTCCCCCCCCACACACACACACTCAGCCTCAGTTAGTTATGAGCCAGAGATGCCCTCTTTTTACCCACAAGCCCGCTGAGCCTGCACATCTGTCCTGGTCTCAGGAGCTGCAGCTGAGACTCGTGGACTTGTATTAACGAGTTCTGTGAAGCTGCTGTTTAATTACTGCCACATTCTGCCTTTGGTCGTCGGAGCAGCCGTTTATTAAATGAACGGATTCATCTGTGGCTCAACATCTGGGTTCCATTAAGATATTGGGAGTTTGTAAGAAAAATACTTTAAGATAAACCTGGACTGTATCCTGTGATTGTGTCCCAACAGTGCAGGCACAGAGGCATTATTCACATCTGTGAGGGTTCTGCAGCAACGGAATCTTTATAACCAAACTTCGTTAGCTTCTTATTGGTCGTCTTAATGAGAAAAATATACCTTTAATAATGAAATAATAATGAAATATTATTATCATCGCTGGCTGTTTTTCTATCTTGCAAACAGCTAACATCCGTTCACAAAACTTTGCGACGCAAGTCAATAAACATTATCTATAAACTCCTGGGAAACATGATGTGAGACGACCCCAAAAAAAAACAAAAAAACTCTTGCGACCCACCTGAGGGCCGCGACCCAGTCTTTGGGGAAACAATAGTGTAAAGTGCCCACTAGTGGATGATGATGTTTAGAAATATTTATTCATGTTGTGTAGCTGACCAACGATGTTATATATACATATATATATATAAAAAAAGACAGAGTTTCTCCTCCCCCTCGACTCTCACCCTCTCACCCTCTCACCCTCTCACCCTCTCACCCTCTCACCCTCTCACCCTCTCACCCTCTCACCCTCTCACCCTCTCACCCTCTCACCCTCTCACCCTCTCACCCTCTCACCCTCTCACCCTCTCACCCTCTCACCCGTCAGTGCAGATGAAACAATGATCCCATGTAATTAAGTCGCTGCAAATAAAAGCCCTTAATGACAGGTTGTCACGGCAGCAGTGAGGGATGTTGTCATTGGCTGTGACGGAGGAGAATCTCATCAGCTGCTGTCATGCAGACATGCAGACACTCGAACGCACCACGATGCTTTCTAATAGGTGGAGGAAGCGGCGGCCATTGTTGTAAAGGTCATTTTCTCCCCTTCATTAGGTTTTTTGGTTTTTTTTCTCTGCTCTAATCACACATTTGTTACAGCGCGACTCGTCTGACTGTAATATAGAAACACAGGGAAACAATCAGGCTGCTGCACAACCCGCAGACATGCGGACACTCGAACGCACCACGATGCTTTCTAATAGGTGGAGGAAGCGGCGGCCATTGTTGTAAAGGTCATTTTCTCCCCTTCATTAGTTTTTTTTTGTTTTTTTTTCAACAACAAAAGGGGGGGGGGGTTCCTTATGTTGAGACTCTCATCCAAAACTGTGTTCCTGTGTGTATTTGTAGTTTATGTTTGTCTTTATATTGACAGTAAATCGATGCGTGTTCTTACTTTGTGACTTCGTGAATGTAATGTTTCTATATATGTCGACGATTGTTTGCTGTCATATTATTAGTATTGTTATTGGTGGTTCCATGGTGCAGCGGTTAGCACGCCTGCCTTAGAAGCAGAGAGCAGGTAGTCCAGGGTTTGATTCCCCAGAGGAGTCAAGTTCAAATTATTATTATTCCTGATTCAGGATCTTTTTCGTTGATTCACTTCATCTTTTTTTACCCAAGAACTATAAAAAAAAAAGGAAAATAGGATCCTTCTGTTTTGCAGTAGATTTAGTTCCAGGAACTATTTTCTGCTTCTGCTCTTGGAACATTTATGTTATTAACTGTTGCAGCTCCAACAAAGTTCCCGCTCATTTTGTTGTGGACACAGGAAGTGGGTCAAAGACGAGGGTTGTTGTTGTTCATTGGTTGGAGAGCAGCGTGGAACTGGACGTTCTTCCTGACGTTGTTCCTGGTACTGATCCTCCACAGGTGTTCAGTGACTCAGACCCTCAGACCCTCACACACACACACACACACACACATGTGAAAACAGCGAAATGCACACACGGGCCGACAGCTGGTGTGGAAATGTGGGGCCGAGATTCTTCGCTCCTTCGTCTTCATCGACAGGTGACGGAACGTCAGTGAGAGGGCGTGCAGCTGCAGACCCTCACACTGTTCACGCTGTTCACGCTGTCTGTCCGTGTGTGTGTGTGTGTGTGTGTGTGAGAGAGTGTGTTCTATGCTGCGTAGAATGTTGTGCATGTAGCGATTAGAGGATTTTTTTTTTTTTTTTTTTTCGTTCGATCACAGCCTGTCACGTCCCGGCACTTCATTAGAGTTTGGCTAAAGACGAGATAAGGCAGAGTGTGTGTGTGTGTGTGTGTGTGTGTGTGTTCATGTACTGTTTGGATTCCAGCTTCTCCAATTCACACCAATGGTCACAGACGACAGCGCCATCAACAGTCAGTGTGTGTTCATGGACCGGAGCTCAATAGGAAATGATTTCCTGCCTCACCGCGCTCTTCACCTGCGAATGACTCATTATTTCTATTATTTCTACATTTTCATGTTTTTACCAAATGAAAACCACGTCAACAACAGTAATCAATGACATTGTTCTACAAAACGCCATCAGGAAAATGACCTCTTCACTGTGTATTGATTCTTTTTTTATGGAGCAGAATAAGTCGGCGTAAATCAAACAAATCTCAGTTTGTTTGGGTTTTTTTAAGTCGGCGTAAATCTCAGTTTGTTTGGTTTTTTTTTTTGTGTGTGAAGAACTCGTGATTATTTCTTTTCTATTTTTTTCTGTTGTTTATTTACTTCTACTACTTTTCAGGCCGGTGTCTGAGACGTGACCGGTCGTAAGGTCAACGTTTGTCTGACGTTTCCCTCCACACGTATAGAACAGAAACGATGAAGACGTTGATGGATCGTCTGCTTTTAATCGTTTTACTCGATGTCAGAGAAAAAGATAAAGAATGTAAAAAAAAAGAGGCTTTTATTGATGTGCTGTTGTGTGCTCAAGGTGTGGTGCAGGGCCCCCTGGTGGCCGTTGAATAGATTTTAGGACTTTTTATTTGTCTTTGTTTACCTTTCAGCTCGTCATGTGCAGAATTGTGTCCTGAGGATTTGTGTTTTTTTTCACCAGACGTGTGTTGTTTTTGCACGTGTGGACGGTGGAAGTGAATTTAAATTTTCACGTCACGTCTGTGGCGTGATGAAAACACACACGCGGCGCGTTTACTGTGTTTGTGCTCATGACCCGTCACAACAGAAAATACAGGCAAAGTGAAACAGAGAGTGTGTTTCTCTGTGACACACACACACACACACACACACACGCTGAGGGCTGTGTGGTGGTGGCAGGTGTCGCTCTCAGCCCATTACCTCTGGCAGCGTTGATCACTCTGTTTGGAGAGCAATAAGACACACCTCAGTGGAGACACAGAGATGGAGAGAAGAGGAGGAAGAGGAGGAGGTGAAAAGGAGGAGGCAGAGAGGGAGGGAAAAAAACAAAACACTCCACCCACGTCGAAAATATACGTACTGTAGTAAAGACGTGGATCTGAGGGTTTGACTTTTTTTTAATTAAAGTCGTTACATAATCAGAGTCACAGTTTATGGACTACGATTCAGATGAATTTAGAAAAAAAAAATATCTTAAAGTCAATATAAGCTGATGAAGATAAGCACAGAAAGCTAAAGGTTAGCTGTAAAAATGGGAGCAGCTAACGTTAGCAAAGGTGAAAAACAAAAGGCTAGTTTAAATAAGTTATTATATAATAAGAACAAACGAGGAGGGAAAATAAAGGTTAGCTAAAATATAGCTAATGGGCTAACGCAATCATAATTGTTATATAAAAAAAATGTAATATTTTTGTGCACTTTTGGTTTTAAACACTGTGGAAGTTAACGTCTGATGTGTGTGTGTTTCTGCAGGTACGACTACAAGGAGATGCTTCATAACTCCACCTTCTGTTTGGTTCCTCGTGGCAGGAGACTGGGCTCCTTCCGCTTCCTGGAAGCGTTACAGGTCAGAAGAAAAAAAAAAATTACAGCCACAAAGAAAAAAAAATCATCCTTTAAATGTTTGGATTTGATCAGAAAAACAGTCAGAGACTTCAGAGCTGCTCCACCTTCTTCACTGTGGAGTCAGTGTGTCTGACGCACAGATCGGGGATTGTTACCTGGAACAGAACCTCCCAGTGTTCCAAAAAGAGCTGAAGTTAAAGTTAATTGGAGGCTAACTACTAAAATGTGGAGCATTTTGTCCAGTCAGAGTCTGTTAGAGCTGCACACAATTCACAATAAAACCCTGTCAACAAACATTAGCTGTGAAATAAAAAAGAATAAATCAGTCGTAGAAATAAAGAAAGAACAAAAATAAAAATTTTACAACCACAGAAATAGGAGAAAAATCATCCAAGGATTTTAGAAAAGTCACAAAAACACTGGTTCATCCATTCATCTGTATCCAGGTCTGTTACTGCTCTGTCCTTTACCTCACCTTACACACACACACACACACACACACACACTGCTGTCCTTCTGCCCACTGAGTCAATTCACACACAGTCACTGATCCACCGTCAGCTCACACACACACACACACACTTCACTCAGGAGGACAAATGTTCTACTTTCTCTTTCATCTGTCTGTCTGACCCACCATCCATCCATCTGTCCATCCATCCATCCATAAGTCCATACGTCCATCCATCCATCCATCCATACGTCCATCCGTCCATCCATCCGTCCATTCATACGTCCATCCGTCCATCCATCCATCCGTCCATCCATCCATCCATCCGTCCATTCATACGTCCATCCATCCATCCATCCATACGTCCATCCGTCATCCATCCATCCGTCCATTCATACGTCCATTCATACATCCATCCATCCATCCATCCATCCATCCATCCATCCATATGTCCATTCTCTTTGTTGTGTGTGTGTGCGGCCACACCTGGGACACGTCAGCACCTGAACGCCACGTCTGGTTGAGATGACCTCCTTATGACCTTTGAGTGACAAGCTATCATTACCATAAACACAGAGTTTTCAGAACACTTCACATGGACAGAAGGTCAAGCCCCCCCCCATGACCCCCACCCCACAACCCTCCCCCACTTTAGCTTTGTTTTGGAAAAATTCCAAACTTCTTTAACTGCCCCAGCTAACTGCCCCAGCCATTACCACTGTGACAGTTAGCCCTATAAGGTGGCAAAGGTCATTTAGCAAAATGACAGCTAACAGTTCTATGAAAACGTTAGCAACAGTAAATGACAACATTGGACAATCGTTAGCATTAGCATCAAACACCGTCGCTGTTAATGTTGAACTGAATCAAAGCAGCAGTGATTTTTGTTTTCTCCCCTGAAGCTCCAGCTCTGAGCCTCTCCCTGTCTGTGTGTGTGTGTGTGTGTGTGTGTGTGTGTTTCAGGCTGCATGTGTGCCTGTGATGCTGAGTAACGGCTGGGAGCTGCCGTTCTCCGAGATCATCGACTGGAACACGGCGGCGGTCATCGGTGACGAGCGGCTTCTGTTGCAGGTAAACGGCCGCGAGGACACGCTGCCGCAGAGTCACACGCTCTGAAAACAAATCTGCCCCCGAGGGCAAACGCATGGCAGGAATCAAAAAAAAAAAACCTTGGACCCTTCTGTCCGCCGGTGGATCAGACGCCGCGGTGCCTTCACCGTACCTGAGTGGAGCAGCCCAGTCAGGCGTCAAAAATCCTCGTCCGCGTTTTTTTACTCGAGCGGTTGAATAATAAGACCGTGCAAATGGACGGGGCAGAAACTGCCTGAACGTCACGGTGGTAAACGTAATTATATTCCCATTAAAACCTCGTTTGAATGAAGTGTGGGATAATATGGTTTGACATTGAGCTTTATGACACTTTTTATAACCAGCTCCTCCTGCGGAGCCGGAGTCGTCGCTGATGACGACAGTAAAATATATATATATATATACACACATGTCGATGGAGCCTGAGATTGAGCCACCATTTTCCCTGCCTTGCTCAAGTGAACCCATGTAGGAGCAGCATGAACATGTGAGCTGGAAGAAGAAGATTTAGTTGGAGTTGGAGTTTTCCCTCAGGGTCGTCAGAACTACATCTTCACAGTAGTATTTGAAGTAGTACTTGTGACCAGTGTTTTTCTCCCCGTTAAGATGGGAAAATTTTAATTACTAATGTGAGTGTTTTTTTTTTTGTTTTTTTCCCTTCAGATTCCGACCACGGTGCGCTCCATCCACCAGGATAAGATCCTGTCCCTCAGACAGCAGACGCAGTTCCTGTGGGAGGCGTACTTCTCCTCGGTGGAGAAGATAGTGCTGACCACGCTGGAGGTGAGGATTCAACACACACACACACACACACACTAACGCCCCGGCTTCACCCACAGACATCAAAATGGTCTGTAAGAGACAGTTGAAAGTGAAATTAAATTCACGTAAAAATGAATAAAAGACGACGATGACGACGTGTGACCAAACGCACACGTTCAACGCTAGTGTGATGTAAAAAAAAAGAAATTCACAGAGGAAACACACAGAGCAGCTGTGAAACAGGCAGAGAGAGAGAGACCATTACACTAATCCTAAGTGGGAGGCCTCCTCCTAGTGTTTGCCTCCGGGACTATTTAGTCATAATCTGTACTAATCTGGTGATGCTTGTTAGTACAAATACCAGAAACGGCAGAATCACTTAGGCCTCTCAGCTAAAAAGGTCACGGGCGTGAGACTGGTTAAATATTTATTGTGACTAAATCTGGGAAACATCTTTGGAGTGGCTGATTAATTTGCCTTTCAAAGGCCGTGATCGAGCGTTTGAGTCCGGTTGAGTAAACACGGAAAAGTTTCGAGTTTAGAGTTTAGAGTTTAGAGTTAAGTCCCCAGGGCGAGGTGAGGTCTTAGTCACAGACGGAAAAACCCAGTCCAGTCCTCGGGGGGTTTGATTCAGTTTATAGAAACGTCCGTGTCGACGGACTTTACATCGTACTTGTCTCTTTAGGAAAAAAGGACAAGACACACATATATATATATATATATATGCCTCTGTGTCGGCAAAGAACAGTACATCAAATGTGCCATATATGGGCAACACTTCCTCAGATTAGTCATTGGTCAACAAGAATAACTTATAGAACATTTCTGATTACTTCCTGTAGAATTTTAGGACCGTACACCCTGGACCAATCCTCTGGTCATCTTGACTTCCTGTTAGCCCTAACGTTAGCTGCCACCACAGGAGGCAGACGTTAATTTCTGGACGGTCGTAGTTGTGAAATTATTGTTGGCTTTTTTTTTTTCATTTGACAGCTTTTAAAAAGACAGCGTTCACTTTAATGCCTCACACCGGGCTCTGCTCAGCTGTACTGTGTACTGTGATACCGTGTACTGTGAAGTATAATTGGACCCAGCGCTTCATCTCCGAGGACACATTTACCTGAGGTTGTCTCTTAAACTTCACCGACCGTCTTCCTCCGCCTCGTCCCGTGCGATCACTTCAGGGACTTTTTGTCAGTTAAAAAAAACAAGATCTCCACCCAATTCCCACACCTTATTATTCAGTTTACACAAGTCGCCTGAAGATGTGAGAAAAACATGGCGAGCCCACGGCTCCACGCCAAGGTTACAAATCTTCCCCTCTCTCTCTCTCTTATCGCTCTCTATCTTTATGTCTCTCTCTCTCACCCTGGTTTATCAAGCCTTTCATTTCCTCTCTCTCCATCAGAGACAGACTGGACTCTGAGCTGAGTCCTCTCCACATTTTATGTCGTAAAACTCAGCAACATCTGTGGCTCCGGGGTTTTATTGACACCAGCTCTGCTGATTGATACAGTAGTGATAGCTCGATCAGGTTATTGACCAGTGCAGATTGACCTAATAAACGCCCACAGCTGCCACCATGAACGGAAGGTTTGGGTAGAAGAAAATACCAGTAACTTGAAAAAACTCTACTTCTGCATTTTGATACTTTTCATGTAGCTCTGATGTGTGAAATTCTGATCTAATCTAATCTAATTTTTAATAATCTCAGTTGCTAACCTAATCACCTCTATTCACACTGATGTAAATGTTCCGCTAATTTTCATCAAAATAATTTTTCCTCTAAAGTGAAAAGAGCACCCAGACTGTAGTCATGGAAAATGTAGCAATTTGGCTAATGCTAACTGGCGTCTAGAGTTTCTATCTTCACATGTATCGTCTGTGTCATATCACGGGAAACTGAATGAGATTGAACGCAGTTTTGAAGAATAATCTTCTTAGAGCTAGAAGCTGAGGTTCCCGTACGTCCTGACGCTGAGCTACGCTGAGCTAAAACAGCTACTGTCGACCCATACGAGCCACTCTGCCTCTTCACTGTTGGTTGGAAACACACTCATTGTTTCTGATTCTTAGACTCAGCTGCTGTGAGATCAGAGCACAGAGGACGGCTCTTTTTTTTTTCCCCGATCTCTAAGATCACCAACCCTCCAACCAAACCTCCTCCTCACAGACTAACACCAGTGTGGCCGCCCAGCTGCTGTGAGATCAGAGCACAGAGGCGTTGATCTCTAAGATCACCGACCCTCCAACCAAACCTCCTCGTCACAGACAAACACCAGTGTGGCCGCTCAGAGGACGGCTCTTTTTTTTTTCCCCGATCTCTAAGATCACCAACCCTCCAACCAAACCTCCTCCTCACAGACTAACACCAGTGTGGCCGCCGTCATCAACCTGAAGACGTGAGCTCAGCTGATCATGCCGTGTTTCCCGTCAGGATCGTGACAAATTTCGACCAATCACAAGGTCAATAACGCCGGCTCTGCAGCAGCGCTGCCGCACCTATTACAGCCACCTATTAAAGCCCTGCTCCGGGTGCGCTCGCGGTGAAGCGGGATTTATCTATCATGCTCTAATTGGTTGATTGTGGCTGTTCGGAGGTGAGATTGAGTCGTTCATCATGTCCCTGCTGAGGGCCGCCGACGAGGGAGGAGCTGCAGCCGTGCGAGCAAAATTACCCCCTTCATAAGACGGGGTTTTCTGAGGTGGCAGACTGTGTTTTTATAGAGAAGTGAAGGGATTTTAAAGTTAATCTGTTGGGCTGAGGCAGATGGTTATCTGAGAGCCTGAGGAAACAGCTCGCTGAAGTCAAATCAAACTCACACAGAGCTGTTTTTCCCTCAAGTCCACGTCTCTGAGTGATGAATTTATATGTGGCTTTGGCAGTGCTATTACATTACACCCCCTCCGGCTATATTATTAACTTTTTACAATTCGATCAGCTATTAGCCGCTCACTCGCTCACTCCCCGCGCTCACTCTATTTACTTTGTTTTATACAGAGAGAGATATAAACGTCCTTTGAGTCACCGAGCCAACAGCTGCCGTCACCTCCCGGAGTCGACTGCTGCTGTAAAGAGCAGCCACAAACCTGTGTCTTTTTTACTGAGGCAATTTAGTTTGGCTCAAGGGCACAACAACGGTGCCACTCTATTCTTCCTGCTGCTTTAGAAGTCAGCGGTGAGCAGCAGCCGCTGGGAGAGCCGTGGACACACTCAGGGTTGGAGTGTCCGACTTAATTCTCTTTTAAGGAGTAAAAAGTCGGAGTGACCAGAGTTTGGACACGGCTGAGAACTTTGGACTTCAGCGCCAGAGTCTTTGCTGATAAACACCACAACAACAGGGTTTGGGCTCCTGCGAGTCGAACTCTGGGGGAAAGAATCAGATTTATGGAATACGTTCAGTGTCGATGTTTACTTTGGTTTAACCAATCGACTGCATATAGAACATGGAGAACTGTGATAAATCTAGAGATATGTTTTTGTGGATGCATTACCCGTGCTGACCAGCAGGGGTGAAATAGCAGTTAATGAGATGATTGCTATAATTTGACCCCTCTTCAAGAAATTAGAATTTAAATGTTTGTTTGTTTGTTTGTTTTCATGCTAGCTGGATAATGATTTCTTTATTCTTTATTTCATTCTTTCTGTCTTTTGTTTTGATGAGTGCAGATCATCCAGGACCGTGTTCTGGAGCACGGCTCCAGGAGCAGCCTGATGTGGAACAGTCACCCCGGGGGACTCTTCGCTCTGCCGCAGTACTCTGGATACCTGGGAGACTTCCCTTTCTACTACGCCACACTGGGTCAGTAACACAGCTGAGCTCGTACTACGTGTTGTTACAGCGTGTACTCAGATACTCACCGCAAAAGTTTTCTGGCCAAGAGTCACACACCAGACTTTTCCTCCACCCCCCCCCCCCCCCCCACCTCCTCCTCCTCCTCCTCCTCCAGCAGCAGCAGCATCAGTGAAGGAGGAGGAGGAAGGTTTCTTGGACTGATGTTTGTGTTAGTCCATCTGACACAGAGACTCTGTCCATCACTGTTATTTTGACTCAGTGTTGCTGATGCCACCGCTGCAGCCGTGAAGCCAATTCCT